GAGTGTGGTCAGGTCAGGGAGGATTTGGGAATGACATAGTGTAAGCAGGAGAAGGATGAAGGACAGAAAACAGCAGAGGAAAGTTAAGTATAGTTGGAAAAGCAGGAAAAAAACCCAAACATATATGGACAGGGATACAGCAATAGGAAGGGCAAGAAAAGAGATTGTGGTGCCAAGCGTGAGACGAGAGACGAAAGAAAGGCAAATTTGACAAAATTGAATGAGTGAAGATGGAGAGTTAGAGAATGGTTGGGTGGAGAGGATGTAGGCAGAAAGCTGAGTAGGTGCCATGAGTATATGCAATCCTTTGAGAAGAGAAAAGCAGGGAGTGTGATTAGGAACATGTAGCTAAATAAGAAAGGGGCCAGCATTCAGAATTGTATTGGGAAATACTGGAGGTAGAACTTCCTGCTAAAATCCTTAAAAATTTATTTGCTCATTAGCTTCTTCAATAATAGCTTGGGCTGTAAGAATAAGAATTTCTGCTGGTACACAGCCAGGAATGGTTGTCAGTACAAAATTGTGTTTCAGAACCTAGAAATGTGTTGAAATTCACAGTGGAAAACAGGTTAAGCTCTTGGCTAAAGAATACATGTATTTCTCTGGTTGGTTTCTCCAACCAAGAACAAGGAGGACCTCTTTTAGTTGTTCGCTGGGTGGCATCTGTAACATGGTTGAAAAAAAAAAAAAGCAAATGTGATTTCAGGTTACAGAATCAAAGTGTATTAAGAGTTGGAAGGGACCCAGGAGGATCATTGAGCCCATAGCCCTGCACTTGGCCCTGCACAGGACATTCCCAAGAATCACACCATATGCCTGAGAGCATTGTCCAAGGATTTTTTGAACTCTGTCAGGCTTGGTGCTATGACCCTGGGGAGCTGTTCAGTGCCCAGCCAGCCTCTGAGTGAAGACTCATTTTCTAATATCCAGCCTAAACCTCCCCTGACACAACTTCAGGCCATTCCCTCGGGTCCTGTAACTGGTTGCCAGGGAGAAGAGATCAGTGCTTGTCCCTCCACTTCCCCTCATGAAGAAGTTGTATACAGTGATGAGGAGCATGCTTATATGCAGCAAAGTGTTTATGACAAGCATTGCAAACCCATGAAAACAGTAAAACAATGCTGTGACCATTTAGCATAGAAACTACTATTTTACTTGTAGAACTCCTTATATTTAAAATAGAAATCAAACCCTGAATAGTTCTTTTCTTAGAGGTTGTCTGTGATTAATAGGGCGAGTTAGTGGATGGTGTGACAGAGTGGGAATAGAAATATTGAACAATGCAGGCCCAGAATTTTTTCCTTAAAATGTCACTAGGCCTGCAGGTGAAAAGTGTTGGTGCTGGTCACTATGCATTCAACACAGCATTATTCAATCTTTTATGAAAGAAGATCAATCATCAAAGCTAAAATACTGTTACTACTAATGCTGGTGAGAAGAGTACTAGCAGGTATTGGGTCAAGCTGATAGCTGAGTATCAAAGGTAAGGATCAACTCTCATATATCCCCTCCCCAAACCCCCCATAAATGACATTTTCTAAATCCCATTCATCATTGAACATACTTCATGATACTGGTGAGAGAGGGGTCCCAGGTAAGGTCCACATGAAATTCACAAGCCAACAGTAGATTTGGAGGTTAAGGGTTCCTGGGAAGCTACTGACTATATATGCTTTGCTTTCACTGATAGCATTGACCTCTTATTTCCCACGTCCTTTAACTGACCAAATTAGACCATTTAGGCATTTCATACCATCATAAGCTTTGGCACTGAGTATTTGATAAGCTCTAATCACAGAAGCAAGGAAGACAAATGGGGTCTTGGGTCAACCCTTTCCCACTCAGAAAGAAGATTATGGATTAGCAATGCTACTACATTAGCAATTAGCAGCATTTAGTAGTAGTACCACTAAATACCATCTGCCCATGCTTGTTTTAATAAAATAAACCTTAGGCTTCAGCGACTCTGCTTTGGATTAGGGGCACTTATGGAGAGCATACCCAAAGTAATAAGGCCATTCTTGCCTTCTCTACAAGATCTGGATGTTCCAGGTTCTGCCTCCATTAGCTGTCATCATCAGAGAGAGGCAGAGTGCTGGGTGAGCTGGGGAAGTGTGGATGCAATGACATCAGTCTGAAAGAGCAGTGGGCAGAGGCTGTGACTCAGAGCACTGAGTGGCTTGTTTGTGCTTGTGATAGCTGGGTGGGGGCATCCAGAGAGAGAGCACATCTCTGCTGTATGGTGGCTGCAAATCTAGATAAAGTCCTTGTGACAGAAAGTATCGTAGCATAAATAACAGTAATATGGACTTGAATTTTGTTCTTTAGTGCTTATCAGAGTGTGGGGAATGAAAGCGTTGCACAGAAAGATGAGGTAGATTCTGGTGGAGCAGCGAGTTTGGAGACAAACAGAACACCAGGATGAGTTGTGTGTAAAAACAATTATCAGCACCAACTAACAGGGCCCTTGCTTGATCCCTCATTATCCAAATTGTAATGCAGGTATTAAAAATGACCCACCAGGTGCAGGCTGCTCATTGCCACCTCACTGCCTCTTGTTTTAATTTCTGTAAATGCTATCCACAGTGTGCTGTCTCCCCTCTGGAGCAAAGGCCCTTATTTAAGTTGTTGACAATGTGAGATGAGCAACAGAACAAAAATATGGAGGGGCTGTAACCCAACTGAAATGTATATGTACTATACCTTTTAGAAGTGCACAGAGTGAGCTTTAAGGTGGGAGTGTCAAATGCACTCTGTGCTTTTGCAAACAAAAGCAAACCATTTTGGCTTTGTTCTTGTTAAATAAATACAAATCAACACTACTTGTCTATCTCTCGATTTATGTTTAAACTCTTTAGGAAAGTATGAATTCTGCAGGGAGATTTGAACAAGAGGAGAGGATTATGATAACAGAAAATGCTTGTGTGATGGGGGCAATGGGAGATTTGAACAAGAGGAGAGGATTAAGATAACAGAAGATGCTTGTGTGATGGGGGCAACGTGAAGAGAAATGTGTGTGGGCAGGATAATAGCCAGCTCCCACCACTGGTGTAGGCAAAGCAGAGAAGGGTGGAAAAAATGGGAATGGATGGGCAGGATGAAAGCAGAGCTTTGAGCCTTAAGGACAAGGGCCAGAGTGGTAAAGAGAAGAGCTGGTGAAAGGATATAAGAAAAAGGAGGGCAGGCCTGTGGCAAACAGCAAACTTCAGCTGCCCTTTTCAGTATGTTTCTGAGAGGCCTGAGGGAACAAAGAGGTTCCAGCAGTGAGGGCAGGGAAAGACATGAGCTTGATGATGACTCTTGGTGTGTGGGCAGGAGGTGAGCAGTGGTGCTGTACTGTAAGTAAATGATGTCCCCAGTGATATGCAGTAGCAGCTGCTTCCCTCACCCCCACTGGTATACACCTGCCTGCCTCTCAGCTGTCACATACTCCTTTGGTCCCTTCTTTCACTGCAACCAGGAAAATAGGCATAGCTCCAGGAGCTCTTACAGGTGTTACAGTGCCTGCAAGCTGTACAGGTGTACAGTACCTGCTGACTGTAGAGGCTGGAGGGGTTGGAAACATACCTACAGGTTTGCACACTTGCAGCCCAGTGACTGATGTCATGACAGCCTTTCATTGAACTGCATTAGCACTTCTGTGTCTGTGCTTTCTTCTTTTGCCTTACTGCAAGTGCAGAGAAGATGGCACAACAAAGTTTGCATTGGGATGAATGGAAATCATTTCAGTAAATCAGCTTGTAATGCCCCTTATTCTACCTATTTACAAGGAGGCAGCTCCAAGAACCTTCCTAACCTCATTCCAAGTGAAACAAGATCTCATTTGGCTGGATGTTTGCCATTTTGTAATGAAGGAAAAACACTCATTCCAAATTGCTTGACTTCTTGGACTCAAGCTCAGCAAAAAAACCCTGTCACAATTGCTGGCAGGGCATTCATTGCAGAGTAACAGGCACTTTATGTCTATTCATCATCCTTTTTCTGTAGT